GTTAGGAGGTCGATCCCAAGAAGGATCCCACTTGGACAGCTTAAGACGCCGGTCCGTTGTGATACCTACAAAACTCCTTTAATCTGGATCAAAAGACCCTTACAAGTCGACGAAACGCTTTGTGCTTACAACAAATTTGTTAAGACGGCCAATATCCATTTCGGCTAAGTATTCAGATCCGCCAAAAGTGTGATTGCCGAGATATTTCAATCTCAGCCTAGCGAAAGCCGGATATTGGAGGAGAAAGTGCCGGGATGATTCCACCTCGCCCTTCTCCATCCAACTTTGGCAACTAGCATCGGGTAGTACTCTAAGCCGTACCGCATAAGTGCCCATTAGACAGTGTCCAGTGAGAACTCCTACCATAGCGGCGAGATGCACTTTTCTCAGGGCGAGAAGTTCCCCCGACCTCCTGCGCTCCACTTTCGGCCAGAAGGATCTCGCGGTCGCACAGGAGTTGGTCGTCGACCAGCGCCTGCTGAGTGCACGCGAGGTCCATTGATCTAAAGCTAGAACGCAAGACGTTAACGGAGATCCAACTCGATCCCATTCCGATGTGAGCGGGGCAAGGGTGTCCCCTCTGGCTAGCTCATCGGCTTTGCAGTTTCCAGCGATTCCGCTGTGACCAGGCATCCAAACGAGCCTGATGTTGAAATAGCCATATGCTAGCTCTAGTGAAGACAGACACTCCTTGACTAGCTTTGATTGCACGGTTCGCGCGCTCAAAGCTAGTATTGCCGCCCTACAATCGGAGTAGATGCTCACTTCTACAAACGAGGCTGCACTACGCAGCAGTACTTCTACCGCCATTTTGATAGCAGCCACTTCCGCCTGAAAAACACTACAGTGGTCCGGTAGCCTGAAGCTAAGACTGACGGAGAGCTCCTTGTAGAAAACCCCCCCTCCAACCAGTTAAAAGGGATCGAAATCACCGTAATGAAAAAAACTAAACTACCTTTTGAAAATCTCTTTGGGAAACTGGTTTTTTTCGAGATTTTGACAAGAGCTACCGTAGCGAAATCTTATAATCTTAATTAATTGTTTTTTATTATGTAAAACACTTTGAAGAAACCAACTCTTTGTAACCAATATAACTTTAAGATATTTAGGAACACTTGGACCTGTTTCTTTAGATTCAAAACAACGTTTTCTACGCTGAGTGAACTCGTTTAACCTTTACACTATTACAACTAAATTGATAGTTTGTTGTTGCTTTTACATGTACATTTTTTGACAAGAACAAGAACAAATTATTTACCAGGAATGGAAAACTTCAGTTAGATATATTCTAAATTATCTGATGCCTTTTTATTAACATTGGAATTAAAAAGCTTTTATCACATAACTTCGTAATAACAAATTTACGACAAAGTAAGGAAACAAAAATATTTAAAGCTATAAAGTAGGAAACAATTTAATTGCCAGTAAGACCAATGTTTAACATTGCCAAACAAAAATGTAAATAATATTCAATTCATCAATCCTTTTGGACTTTGCTTTTTCAATTACTATAATCTCTCGGTAAAGTGGCACCAATTTTTTCTCCGCTCTGAAATATAATAACTCTTGTAAAATATCGCTTACTTATGCTTCAAATAGTCACCGACACTCCTCCCTTCCCTACTTACCGCCCGTATCAAACCAAGTTGTTCAAAAGTTATGCCCGTAGTTGCAACCGATGTTGCCATTGTTCAATTTGAATACATGATTTTTGACACATTTAGTTTTTTAGTTATAATTTTTCTTAATGTAAAAGCTCAAAACTAAAATCCAACTATTAAAAATAGTTTGCCTATTTATAAATAAGTGTATTCGATTGTGATTTTGAGTTATTTTAAGAATATTTCATATATATTCAAGTTTATTTTTTAATTACTACAAAATATCGAGACTGGCAACAGAGTTGCAAGAGATTGCTCTTTCACTCGTTTCTATGCGGAAAAATCAATTTTCGCGGATATCCTACCGTACGGTCTGTAGAAGCGGTCAGTTTAAGAATATTTCAAATATATTCAAATTTATTTTTTAATTATAATAAGAGCAATCATCTGACTCGTTTCTAGGGAAAAATCCAATTTTCACGGATATCCACGTACACGGACGGTAGAAATGGTATTCTGCTACATTGCGTTCTCACATAGGTCGTATCAGCTGATTCGGTCTACGGTTTTTCGATCACTAACTGAATCATTAAGTTTCGAGCCAAACCATAAGCTACGTATCACTCCGGGGTATAAAAATCGTGTGATAAGGAAAAAATAATTAGCTGTGTAGTAAAATGTTATCTCTACTTCGTGGTATGGCCGTAAAAATTTGCGTAGTTCTAACAGATGTTGTGCACCATTCATCATTGCTAGTGGATGGTGTATATTGAAATATTGTCTATGTTTATATGGGGAAATGCTCTATAAGCACATACACAATATACATACATATAAACAACAGTTATTTATACACGAAGAAGTTATATATTGATAAACTTAATTTAAAAATTCTTATCATAGTCGCTGAGGGTAATATTTACGCAAGCGACTCTAAAATGTTGAGATTGCCTTTAAAATCAAATTTTATATTTCATCAATGCCACTTTGTCATATATACAATGTATAGCTGTCTTATCTTCGCACATACAAAAACATAAAAAAATAACATAGGTTTGTTTACGCGCTTGTTTATCTCTTAGACCTGATAGTTATTGTGTTTGTGTATTTACATCGAAATATGTAAGTATATGTGTTTATCGTAATTCAGCTAATTCTGAGTTTCTATAAATCAGTTTTTGCTAAAAATTATTTTTTTGAATTGAAATGCTGTTGATTTATTGAACATTTAAAAATATTGACACCAATTAATTTATGTTTTAGAAGCATTTCTATTTACTATTACTATATGGTGTCGAATAGGATAAAATTTACAAACTTACTTCCATATACCATCTGATCACATTTGACCCGGAAGTTTGATCTCCATATGTCAATTAGTGTGTGCTTAGCAGCTGTTTGTTTAGGACGTCTGACAATTTTTACCATTGAAAAAAATTGAACAAAGAGTTCGGAATCATTGAAAATGCTGCAAAGGTGTTTTGGGAAGACTACTTTATCTCAAACACAAGTGAGTAATACAAAGTTCTGACACATTTGGCTGACACAAAGATTCGGTGAAGATACTGAAGTCCCGAAAACTTGCCTCACGCGAGTCTTTTAATGACAACAAACCAGTGAAAAGACCTCAATACTTTACAAAAGCAAAGTTGAGCAGAGGTCGCAAAAGAGATGCTCGTCAACGTTTCTGAGGACCCTAAAGATTTTTTGAATTAAAATTTCATTTTGAAATTTTTTCTAAATTTTTGAATTTTTGAAATAATTTTTGAAAAAATACTACAATACTTTATACAATATTAATAAACAATTTTTTGAAATTTTTTTTCGAAATTTTTGGTATAAAAAAAGATAATTAATATGATATTAAAATTACTAAAGCATTTTTTTTTTGAAATTTTTGAATAAAAGAAATTATTTTTAAATTAATTTTTCTTAAGAAAAAGGAGTTGTTTAGGAAAAAAAAGTAACAAACCTTTCAAAAGAGATGCTTTTCAACGTATCTGAGGTCCCTTCACTCAACAAACGGTAACGGTATTTTATAGAGTATTATTTTTCTCTTTTTAGTTTGAAGTGCTTTAAAAGCGTATTTTTTTAGTTTTGTTTAAACTAAATAATTTTATTTATTAAGCATATATAATTCTACAAAATATGTGTGTGAGTACCTATAAATACTTTGGTGTTGTGTGTATGTACAAGAATTTGTATTGTCTCTTAACCACGAATTCTAAAATTTGTAAATAAAGCTGCACAAAACTGGCGTTACGTTAAATATTATATGGATTTCGTGAATTTTATAATTTTATTCATTCATCTAAGCTGATTTTCACACGCAAATCACTCTATTATGAGGCATTTTTGTTGTTGTCTTACTCAGCTGTATGATGTAAGAGATGTAATTACTTTTTATGTATGCAAATTAATACAATATGTATCTATATACAGAGTGGTTCACTTGGTAGCTTGTTTAAAATATATGTGTATACATATACATATATAATAAATGTACTAAAGTATTTGTTTTTTTTTTTGTGAGAGAATGCCTCAGTTTTATACTAGCTCAGTTGTTCATACTGTCAACTGCCAATATTTAATATTGTAGAGTAAACTAAGCAGACATTCTACTAAAAGAAGATATCTGTCAAATTTAGGCTGAAGAAACCGCAAAAACTGTCAAACTCTGAGAATGTATTGGTCTTTCGGTCGTTCCAAAAACGAAAGTCATGTAAATCGATTGGATTTTCGTTCGATAGCGTAGCTCGCAAGTAGAAAAGCACTCTAAAAAAAAACTTTATGGAGCACTCTATATTAAAATAATATTTAATATTATAATTAAGATTCTTTTCCTTACATGATTTCATATCTCGATTCATTATTATTAAGGGGTACATCTAGCATGACAGCCACAAAAAGGCGATTTTAAACTAAACTAATCCATCAATTGTTTTAAAATTTGTACATATTATAAAATTACAATTACATAACAAAATTTCTATTTGAAGATTCTGTTCGTACAATGACCTATGGTAAAAAAAATCAAAATTTGACAATATGGTGTCGTTTTTAAAAGCAAATTTGAATTTCACCCAAATTTTTGTCGTTTTTGGCTTGTCAAAATTCGTTTACATTAAAAACTGCTAGGTCATTGCATATAGAACTATGATTATACAGAAGATGAAAAAAAAATTAAATATTTAAAAAATGTAGTTTTAGTAAAACGCGTTAAAGAATGATAGAGCTGATTGAATTGAATAGCTACACTTTAGTAGGTTTTAACTCGAAAACTATGCGAGATATGGATTTTAAAATATTACAAAACCTTTTATACATTTACATATATTTCCATAACGAAAAATCCTCTACAACGATTTCCTACTAAAACCTACCTCAATTAATTTTCAGTTAACAAATCGCCGTTAATCTATGAAGAATTTTAAGGGTACAAACAATAAGACCGTATAGTCGAGATGTGCCTTTCGACACCCAACGCTGCCGCTGCGAACAGCAGCACTAGTACAAATGCAGTCACCTGCAATGGAAGTTGTGTGAATCTTAACAACAACAACAACAACAATAATAATATTGATAAACTAAGCGCAGCAGCAAATTGTGGAGTGAGCGAGAATGCAAACAGTGTCAGTATTAGAAATAGATTTTGCACAAACAACAACAACAACATCCAAGAAGAAGATGAACGCGACGTACCTGATGAGCAATCCAAAGATTTAGCTGATAGCTTAGGTTATAAGGAAGAAAATGCTGTCTACAAAGAAATTCCACAAAATGCAGCGGTCTCAAAACAAGTACATCAAACAAAGGCGGCCAGCGACGAGATCGAATACAATCCACAGATCAGATGGTTAGATTTAATAGCACAAGTCTTTTTACATACCGGTGCCCTCTATGGAATTACTCTGCTATTCCAGGCGAGATTCTACACAATTTTGTGGGGTAAGCGAAAATTGAATAATAAAAAGGCAACAACCCAACATCTATAAGAGCAAAAATAAATAAAAAACAAAATTATTAGGCACTTCATACTATTTATATCTATTATCAATATTTAAACAAACAAAGCAAGTTATGAAAGCACACATACACCTACGCACATACATACACAGAGATTATTATCTGTGAAGCATAGCTTCTTAACCATATTGAAATAAAGCACTACACTACAAGTATGTATTGAATTTTTGCCATATAGTGAATGGTTGGCAACATTATTTCAGATAATTTTTGGATATTTTTTTAAATTTTTTCGAAAGAGTTGAATTTTTTTTTAATTAAAAAATATAATAATTTTATAAAAATTGCCTTTTGAAGTTCTTTTTTCGAAATTTTTGAATGCTTATAATTAAAAATAAACGAATTTTTTAAATTAATTTTGCTTAAAATACTATTTGTGTAGGAAAAATATTTACAAACATTTAAGAAATAAAAACATTGTTCTGGCTAGTTATCTATTATTGCCAAAAATAAACTATAAAATATGCTAAAAATGTCTGCAACAGGAACATATTTACATTGTCTCACTGTAGCTGCATTTGTTTATTTTTTCGGAGGTGTAAAGTTCTGCCTATTTGACATACATGCTTATGTGCACATTTTTCATGACTTATATTGCATAGTTGCTTGTTTCATTCCATTAGTGGGGTAAAACTGAAACTTGTGAAAATTGTGCTAAATAGATGTTTGGCTAGTTTCGCCATTCACACACGAGCTGATCAATATGTACATAAGTATGTATGTAAACCCCACCCCTAAAAGGTTTTAAGATGTGAAAATGAATGCGGAATATGGCAAATATTTGTACATTACAGATTTACATTTGTAATCTAATGCCTTGCAGACGCTTAGTCATGCGAAGCAAAGAAATAATAAGAGTCAAATGTTTCATGACACTGAATTTAATGCTGACGACGCGAATTTCAGAATATTTCAACTGAAATTTTACAGGCATTCGATTTTAAAGTATAGGGTGAGGCATTGTCAACATAAGTGGCAACTCAACTAGGTCAACATATCGCTCTCAATTTGGATTCTAATATGATTTTCAGAACTGTATTTTTTAAATACCTTCAAGCTTGGAAATACCCTGGAGAATAGGTTTGGAAGTTTCTATGTATTGGAAAAAATGCTTTAAAAAACGTTTGTGAAAACATAACCAGCATAAAAAATTGCACAATTTAGTTAGAGAAAACGTATTTTTAATGTGTTTTATTTTAAAATATACCTAATACTCATATACTTATACCTAATAATCCTACCTTAATTGCATTAAGTATTTACCACAAAAACAGAGAAGTTTAACCACTGTCATACCGTTTAAAATATTCTCACTCTTATCTGTTGCCATATAAACATAAAAGCAGAAGACCTTACATGAAATCATAATTGATTTTATTTTAGTTCAAGTCAATAGTGACAGACGGTGTTCTTTGTTTGAAATTTCAATATGAGTATAAATAATTATCTATATATATGCATTTGTATGTTCGACTGAGCTATATACCAATAGAGCTCTACTATTGCGATAAAATTACACAATTTTTTACATTGGAAAGCTGTGCTCTTGCCTACATTTGCCAAGCTTGCAATCTGTACTATACTGTTATATGTACACTTTGTATTCAACAATTTTTCTAATTGATTATTGAAACAGAAATATTTTATTTTAATCAAAAGTGAACTTCGACCAATACAATTAGTTGCAGAGAGCAACTGATTCAAATTAATGCTTACATACACAAATAGAGTCTATGCATACCAATCTATTGGTACACGCATACACACATATATATATATATATATACTCATGAAAATATGTGCCGAAGAAAGTGCGGCATACGCCCAATGAAGAACGCGCGCGCAATAGAAGAATTGCAAACACTTGACAGCATCCAGTTAGAACGGCTGGAATTATTTTCAAAAGCAATAAGAAAAAGCGTTAACTTCCTCGGCAACGAAGTTCTAATTCCCTTCAGAGGTGCATTTTTTAGAGTATAACAGGGTATAAAAAGGTCTTTATATTGATTTTCATCGGTTAGTTTGTATTGCAGCTACATGCTATAGTTGTCCGATCTGAAAAATATCTTTAAAGATTTTAAATTTACCTTGGAAAAGAATCTATGCCAAATTTTATGAATATATCAAAACGATATGCAAAATTTCAAAAGGATATTGAAAAACTGAGGGACTAGATTGCGTATATACAGATGGCTGAATCGCTTACTGTTCAGGGCATAACAACAAATACATAAATACATACATACATTAAAGTGTGCGCATTTCTTTTAATTTACAGAGCTTGTATGTTTGTAGGTATATTGCAGCAGTGGCTAACACATGTCAGATTCCATCTTGATTGCTTCATAATTGAATATGTGTATTTTGAAAAATTCTTTTCTAAGCAACAACTTTCAATTACAGTGATGGCGCTTATCTGGAGTTCTGGCATCGGTATCACCGCTGGAGCGCATCGTCTATGGTCACACAGGTCCTACAACGCTTCCATGCCATTGCGAATCTTGTTGGTGTTTCTATTTACGATCGCCGGTCAGGTGTGTATCTTAGTATACCTTACTATATTTATGAGTTATTTAATATCAACTATATATTCTGTACAATCAACAGCGTGATGCCTACACTTGGGCGTTAGACCACAGGATACATCACAAGTTCTCGGAAACTGATGCCGATCCGCACAATGCACATCGTGGCTTCTTCTTCTCACATGTAGGTTGGCTCTTCTTGACGCCACATCCCAAAGTGGTTGAAAAACGCAAAGTAATCGACATGTCAGATTTGCAGAATGATAGGGTGGTAATGTTCCAACACAATTACTATATACCGTTATTTGCACTTTTCTCGATTGCCTTGCCCGTGTGTGTGCCTTGGTACTACTGGGATGAGAATTTATGGATTTCATTTTGGATCAACTTTAATATGCGTTTTACTAGCACACTGAATGCGGCGTTCTTCGTCAATAGTGTGGCCCATATGTGGGGCAAAAAGCCGTATGACAAGTAGGTTGAACTTGCTTATGGAAAACTTAATTGCTTACTGAATTTACAGTTATTTTTTATTTTTTAGGAATATCAGCCCTGTTGAAAGCCCTATCGTGTCATTTTTGGCGTTAGGTGAGGGCTGGCACAATTATCATCATGTTTTTCCTTGGGACTACAAGACCGGAGAGTTTGGCAGCTACAAATTAAATATCACAACAGCCTTTATTGATTTCTGTACGAAGATTGGCTGGGCTAGTGGAAGTAAGTTATGACAATTTTATCTATTAGCGTAGAAAAAATATGTGCCTTCGATTCGCCATAAATTTGCTCGTTATGCATTTAAAAAAATGCTATATAAAAAAAATATAAGCGATATAACCTCTTGCTATTCTATCCATATTTGATAATGTTGATGTGATATATACCAGTTTCTTCTTGGCGAACCTCAGGAAGCATAGTATATACATATTTTAAAATGGATTGAATCTTATGACTATAAGGTAATGATCCCATATGAATCTTTGAGATGTAACTCCTTTAGGTAGTTCTTGAAATTAAAAAAAAAAATTATTTATCAGGAATAGAATATGGTAGACGAAAGCCATTAGAATGGAAGTGGTGTAACATTAAACTCGCGAACCGAAATGAAACCAAATGAAATTTTGTAATAGAAATACTCAAGAAAAATTGATAGTGAATGGTGAAAATTAATAAGATGAAAGTGCAATAATATATAGCTGCAATACAGCCGATTGCATGGATATGAGACTCCAGAAGTTAACGAGATTAGAACACAAAATTATTTAGTTTTATATAATAACATTTGGGCATTATTTTTGCTTGAGAGAAATAAAAAAAAAAATAGCGGTGAAAATTAACATCGGCCTACTTTAGTTAACTGCATGGTTTTTTTTTGTAAATTCTTATTTATTGTATTTTAATTTCTCGAAATAAAAAAAATCTTAATAATTTTTTATTGCCAATTTTTTTAGGAAAATCCGTTTCGCCAGATATGATTAAACGGCGCGCTGCCAAGTGTGGCGATGGATCACGTTTTCTCACCGATCAATTCGCTCATAAGGATCAAGTTTGGGGTTATGGTGATCGAGATATACCAAAGGAAGATGCCATTGAATTGGCCAAAATGAAATGAGTATTTCAACCATCTACACTACAACTACAACTACACACAAAATTTTGTAATTTGAGGCTCTTTAATAAGTTTGTATTAACTTCTACATTCGTTCAAATTCTTAGGTCATTTAGACTAAGCTTTAAACTTAAGCTTTATTCACATTTTGTGTCTGCAATGTGAAGCGTGCGTAAATGTTTTTTTTTATATATTTAATATTATATATCTATGTATATATATATAAGTACATACATGTAATTAAATACTGAACATTGTCTATATGAAAATTAGTTGGTCTAGTATGTAAAAGTACTCCTTGTAATTAAAATTTAACGGTTTCCTCATGAATTTGGAAAACAAGAGTGTAATTGACGCAAGACACTACCAAAGCGATTATATAAATAAATACTAAATACATAAAGAAAAAGAAAATAAAAAAGGCTTACAGTGTCCGTGTTTTTATTATTTTTTATTTTAATGCTTGAGGTGCATGCCCTTTTTCATTTAGCAGTATTTACAGTTAGTGCGAGTGCGATGTCTAATTATGCCCGGCTCATATGAATACTTAATTATGCTTTAGTTTACATAACAACGAATTTAATTTTAAATCCACTTCGAATTATATATCATCTTTAATGCTTAGTATATAGTGCGTATATACATTTGTATGTATTGCATATGCATATAAGGTATAGCGTTTTTAAAACAAGATTCCTATTTTTGAATCAAGGAAGTTACTTTAGTTGAGTTTGTGACAGCACGCGTAGTGGTTGACCGGCAGTTTTGGATCCGCAAATATATAGAGTAAAGAAAACCCTAAGAATTTCTTTTGTGTTAAAGTTCTACAAAAGCTACAGGAAAGCTAAAAAGGAATTAAACTATTCGATCTATAAAAATCTATAAAAAGAAAATCGATTACGTTTATTGCAAGATGGGGTTAATTTTTTTTTGCTTACACAGTGCAACATAATAAAAAATAATAGGATTACAAATTATTTTGTTAGGTGATGTAAAAAAAATATTTACCAATTTTACCAAAATACATAATTTCATTTTCCTCTAAGTCCTTTAATTCAGATTTTATCAAAAATTTCGGTCGCTGGATGGTTCAAGTTTCCATAATAAGTTAAACAGAATTTTTTATTGGAACTTTTTATATTATATAATATATCTTATTTTATTATGTTACTAATAAAACGAGTTTGAAATAATGTCCTTTAGAACCTAATAAAGCATATGTTTAATACCGCTGTTGTTATATAGAAGTATTATAATCTTAATCTTTTTAATGATTTTCTGCTTAAAAATACCGATATATAAAATATATAAAGCGGGGAGACTGCGGGAAACTTAATTCCGATCATTCAGTTTGTATGACAGTTATATGCTATGATAATCCGATCAGAATCATTTCTTCGGAGATGCACCATTGAGTTAGGCAATAAGCTATGCAAAATTTCGAGATAATATATCCTCAAATGAATAAATTTTCGACACTTGATTCCGATCGTTCAGTTTGTATGACAGCTACTATGCCATCCATTCCGACAAAAGTGCAGCTTCTTGGTGAGCAAATGACGGATGCAAAATTTCAGATCGATATCTGAAAAACTGGGGGACTAGTTCGTATCACGTACAGACGAAAAGACAGACGCACAGACAGACATAGCAAAATCGACATAGCTCATCACCAAACATCGCGAAAACTTAATTATAGTTATTATTATAAACTACACTTAAAATAAATATTTTGGTCAAATTTTGACAATTAAAACTCAAGTAATAATCCTTGGCTAAAAAACACTTTTCAATGAAACTACTTTTTCACATATTTTTAATATTAAAATAAAGCTTATTTTTAGAAATTACAACTTTCTTACTTTTTTAATATCTATATAATAAGACAGCTGAAAAATAAAATACTACTATTTTTAATTTCCTTTATTTTTTTCTAAAAAGATATTTCGAAAATGGAAACTCAAAGCAATGTCGCTAGCAATGGCGAAACCCAACAACAACAACAACAACAGACACAGTCATTGACGTCGGCAGACACAACTAAGGAACGTCCACAACGCATTAAACGTGAAGCGAGCTGGCCTTCTGTACTATTTTACATACATTTGAATATACTCGGACTCTATGGAATTTTTATAATGTTTACGAACGCCTCATTCCTGACGATTTTATTCAGTAAGTTCAATAGAAATTGACAAAAGGTTCATAAGTCAACGGCAGTGTGTTTTGTATACTTCGTGTATGTTTAAATAAAAAAAAATATATAAATATATGTATAAATGTTTGTATGTATGTGTGTATGAGTATCATAAATGTGTATTGGTTGTATAATCCAAAATGGATTGAACTTAAAGGTTGTGGTAATCGATAAAGTAATTCAAATATTTTTTTAATCAATTTTAGCCTTCACTTTGACCTTTCTGGGAATTTTAGGTGCAACGGCTGGCGCTCATCGCCTTTGGGCGCACCAAACATACACAGCCAGCACGTCACTAAGAATATTCCTGATGCTATGCCAAACCATAGCTGGACAGGTAAGTCTTTTATGTTGGTAAGGAGGTATTTATCCTTCGAATTGTTGCACTTGACAATTACAAAAAGCTTAAACTTGGAAAAATTGGATATTCTCAAAAGTTCATTTTGAGTGGTTATAACCACTTGAGAATTTCAAAAGATCGTTTCTTTTTTGCTAGTATAATCGGCTCCCAAAAGTTTAAAAGAATTTTTTTCGAAACGCTGTTGGTAGTGAAAATTTCTCCGAAACGGCTAGACCGTTCGACAGTTTTCACAAGAACTTCTTAGACTTATTTGTGAAGTAATGGTCGCAGGAATAAAATGTTTTATAAAAATTTAAATTTTTTAGCCACTCTGAAAAGTAAATTTAAAAGAAAGAACGAGTTTTTATTCAAAAACCAAATGTTGACTGTTTTTTCGATAACTACTTGTATTCATTATAGTAATGATATATTTTTTGGTTTTGCATTTGAGACAATTTTAAATCTTTCTCAGAGCCAGACACTTTTTTCGGACGTTTTTTCCACCTTAAATATATTTTTTAATATTTCTAAACACTTCGCTTCACCCTGTACTAGTTCACACTTAACGAAAAGATTGTAAAGTTAAAAATTCATCGCGGTTGCGATCTTCGCTAAACTGAACAAAAATACCACCATAAATAAATAGTACATTTATGTTTACGCTCTTAGCATTCGGTATTATTTTTACGATCTAACGCAAAGTTTTTTACAATTTTTAACAATACGTACTTGACTCAATCTGACAGGGCCCAATCTATAGATGGGTACAAACGCATCGTCTACATCATCAGAAATTCCGCCAAGAAGATGATCCCTTCCACAGCGCACACAGCTTTATGGCCGCACAAGTGAACGCACAAATTATGAGTTACACACCGGAACAACAACAGTTGCTTAGTCAAGTCGATATGTCGGATATTGAACAAGATAAAGTGGTGATGTTTCAAAAAAAGTAAGTACTCGAAAAATTTTTCGTTTTTAGAACGGCCCTAATATATATCTTGAATACCACTAACATTAAATATATTGAATTCTCTCCAGGTATTACTGGGTACTCTACTTCTTCCTGCACGTTTTGTTGCCCGTCAATGCACCGCTTGAGTATTGGGGCGATTCAATTGCCGCGGCCACCTTTGTGGCCTTCTCGCTGCGATATCTCATCGTTTTAAATGTTTGTTGGCTTATCAATTCGGCACATATCATTTGGGGATTGGATAAAAACTTCAAACCCTCCGATTCGAATAGTGTGTTCTTCATAACAAAAAGCTATTGGCCTCAATATCATTATCTGCTGCCCAACGATTATCAGAGCGGTGAGTTCGGCGATTATGGTAGCGACTTTATAACCGCAATGATACGCGTGTTTGCTGCTCTCGACATGGCAACGGATCTGCGTACAATAAGTTCGGTGGCCGTGCGCAAGGGTTTGACTACCGCCGTGGAGACAGGACGTCCGATTGTCGAGTGCATTCAGGAGCACGCAATCGGGGAGATGAACGAAATGCCAAAGAATCATTTCTTGAATCGCGACCGTTTTATGTAGAGTACATTCAATCAATATTGTATTTGAATATAGCATTATTAGTCGAATAATACATTATATGGAAATGATGTCCTTCATTTTTACGAAAGACTTTAATAACCTTACCAAAATTCTCTATCTGAAATTGCTACGAATAAATACCAATCATTAAGGCACCGTATTTATTGATCCAGTATTAGACAGCTAGAAGAAATTTAAGACACTGATTAGATGCGACCGAGGTTTATGAAAACAACGTTAATAGATGATTCATATAATTATCAGTTCTACAACTAATCCATATGTAACATTAGCAATGTCTCTTTCGATCAAAAACTGCTTTTAAGACTGTGGTCATGGATGATAGTTAGAAATGACGATGGTAGAATTTTGTGGTCTAGTCGATTCGATAGGGTAGCCTATGAATTAAAATACTGCTAAGCTATATAAGGCACGTTGTTCAGAGAAAGATGCTCCAGCTCTGCAAATATGCACATCACACAGTGTAGCCTACTACTACTATGAAGGTTTTTGGTTTTAAATACGAAGTAGAGAAGAAGATAGAAGTAGCGTAACTTTCAATTCATTGAATATGGATTCGGGTATATACGAGTTTGCCCGATAAATACTTAGACTATAAAATAAAAGCTTTTAGAATACTGTTAACATAGGCTCTTCATTGACTTGACCCAATAATTTTTCTGGAAGTCTGAAAAATCGTTTAAAAGAGCTTTTCACTAAATGGGACCACTTTTTCTGCAACTTGGCGTAGAATCTTCATAATCCCTGAAAACGATGGCTACTGTTTATACCGTTTCTTAGCCTTTGTTGTATACCACTGGATCCATGCTTCGTCGACGGCTATATACGCCACGCAGAAACTCCTCTTTTGCTTTTAAATAACGTCAAACACCGCTGTGAAGTGGTCTCACGTTAGCGTCGACTTTCATCATGGGCAATATTTTATGAAGGACGTTAGGGTCTTGAGATACATACCTATTGTATTTATTATTATTATTATTTTGGGCACCCTCAATCTGTTGTCTGCCAATACAATATTGTGGAGTTTTTGCGACGTGCAACCACGTTGAAATTTTCTTCAAAAAGTAAGAATTGAATTCTCAATCGACGTGGCTTTTTTTCCATTTTGATACCCTGAACAGGGTATACCCAGGTAACACCCAGAGGAAAACGTCAAAGACCCTATAAAATATATATATAAATGATCAGCGTGTTGAGCAGAGTTGATTTAGCCATATCCATCTATCCGTCTGTCTGTATATACACGAATTAGTCCTTCGGTATTTTAGATATCGATCTGAAATTATGCACACGTTCTCACCAAAAAGCTGCTTGTTTACCAGAGCCGCTTTAGCATATAGCTGCCATGACAATATATCTTAACGAAATTTGGCATGTATTATTCTCCATAGCAATGTAACAATATCTGACGAAATTCTTCAGATCGGACCACTATATGAAAATCAAGTTCTTGTATGGAAACTTCATTTCTGAAGTTAACATTTTTTCTTGTCAAAATGCTAGCCCCATTCGGCGTATATTTTGACACTGGCCGTCTATACTATAGTAAATTTCTCTTGCGATTTTGGTGTGGGCGTGCCTAATTACTTATCGGATCACCATCGTACGTACAATGCGCATAACGAACTTCATGCGCATTGCCCCTGTGCGCCGAAAAGCGAAGTCAAGGCCAAAAGCTACAGAAATTAAACAAAGGTTGGACCGATGTTTGCACACGAAATTCCCAAACAGTTTTGTTTACAACTATATATGTACATACTTAAAACGACTTATTAAGAAAGAAGAGTTAAAATTTCATAATAAGAAACCAAGAAAATAATACGTGTCCATTTTCATACTCATGTGAAAAGACACGAACCCAACTCCAGTCTTTATTTAGTTTATTTTCGTATTTTAGTCACACAGTTTAAAAACAAACAGAATCGGCACATTTTCAATGAAGCGATGAGAAGTAGTGTAGAGCTGGGCATTGACGGCTTCAAGCAAATAATGCGTGTAAGTAAGCATGGCGAGTGAGTACACGTACATACATACTGCTGTATCACCACATATGTGTATGTATGGATGTATGTGTTAAAGTCAATCAAAAATATTAAAAATGCGCTCGTCAACAGACGGTATTATGTCAATACTCGAATTCCCACAAATTGATTTGACTTCGAGTGGTTATCCATAGCACAATACCCTAGTACTCGTAGCGAAAACTTACACACATACACACACAATGTGTATTTGTTTACTAATTCAATTAGATAAATCAATTAGATTTTGCAATTACTTATCCGCCGCCATGAAAGTATGCAAAGTAAGTGAATTGATAAGGTGTCAATTGGAAAATACTCGTCACCGGTCGTCTGTCGTCCGTCATCGGTTGTCGGTCTCCCATCATTCAAAGAGCGAATATCGAAAAAGCACTTCAACATAATAAATGCATCAGTATGAAGAGTTTAATTCACGCGTCTTTCTATATGCCATCATATTTGACACTTTGCATTTGAGATATTAATTTGCGGCTGATTAGCACTTGCATTTTAAAATCAAACAATTGATTTATGCTCCATTGATTACTTTATGTTTCATGTGTATCAGAATATATATGTGTGAGTGTGAATATGCATGTGAGTGCTAGTGCTAACTATTGTGTTTGTTTAATTCTACACCAAGTTATTATAAATTATCACAAAGTCGGTAATATTTATAAAACTGAATGAATGTGCCAATATTTGATGTCACTAGACAATGGTGTGGCTTAACGGGGAGTTTCGGTGAATTCGTAGTTCGATAGACGTAAGATAGCGCATACTGATAAAGCTTACTTTATAGCATATTGACTAGATATGTTGTCATGGTCAGAGTAAGGGTGTGAACTTCCGCAGGTCGTTTCGACATTTTATTTGTACCAGAACAACCAAAAAGCCATTAAAGATCACCCCATGAGCTCTTTACTACACCATTATCTCCATGTTGAATGAGGAAACCTGGAAAGCGTACATATTGTACATATTGTACATATATTATATTATATGTTGTTAGCACTATAATATTTACAAAGCAATAAGAGTTTTGTGATTTTCTGACTCAATATTGTTTGAGCACCCGTCAAAGAAGGACATGGGTAAAGAGAAATCGCGTCATACATATTGTAGAGTTTTTCTTGGCCAATAGGAGAGGAGTTGTGTTCCATTAAGCCAATGCCATTCAGACACACATCGATAGTAACTCCGGGAGCTTGGTTTGGCTGTTCTTATGAATTAATTGTGCGGTTTCTGTCTATGGCGAAAGATTTTGCTGAAGAGATAATAAAGTCGAGGGTTTCTATAAGAGTGGCATTATGAAATTTCCTTTAAAATGACAACTAGTTCTTGAACATAGCGGTACATATGTGACCTAAATCAAGTTATTCTTTCTATGCTAAATAAAACCTTAAAGTTAATGCGATGCGGTCAATATGTCAGAATTATAGTAAGGGAAAAGAGAAAAACCTCATAAAATCTTCAGATGGTCTCTTCAAAATACCTAAGTACTAGAAGATTAGGTAAAGGATGGGTGCATGTTTGGCGGTATAAACTTTAATTTCAAATAAAACTCATAAAAATTATTGAAGTTGTTTAATATTTAAACAGAATTTATTGTATACGGCCACCGCAATTGAGACATATGTAGATCCTTCTGTTGGTAAAATTTTAAAAACCCTTTTAACTTTAGGAGATGTTATCAATAGTAGCTGGTTTACATGACTCGTATTTAAGACAATTCTTTTTACCACTTTCCCTCTAGAAAAAATACACTCTGCACATCGCATCGCTGAGCAATTTTGCCAGAAGGAAATATCATTGTTAAGTGTGCTGTAAAATCTTAAATTTATTTTTTATCCTGCCGCCAAACGACTGCTAAAATTTAGAAGCATTCTCAAGGCACTAATACATTCGGAAGCCTGCCATTTATCGATTCCTTTGTCGGATTTTTTTTTAAATAACTTCGAGTATCTTTTTTCCTGCGTTTTATCGGCATGACAAACATATGTGAGTAGAGAAAACCTGTTGAAACAGAGTGGCCTGAATGAGATGGTAGATCGTCAGTGTCGTGAATTCAGTCAAAACTCTCTTCAGAACTGTTAGATTTTTCGCTAAACGAGGAGATTCGTAGGTGGCCAATCGAAGAAGCACCCAACATACATTTATCTCTTATTTCTGACAGAGCACTATACGATTGTCACCTACTATAAACAACACGTTTCGTGTTTAGACAAATCAGTTGCAATAATCAATCAATTTACATATATCATACATCATACGTATATAATGTTGGTTCCAGTAGTAAAGTTTCTGTCCGTATTTTTCACCAGTCACCCACGAGAGAGTTTTAAATGAATTTTTTTAATTTTTCTTAATTTTTTATTTTGTAATAATTACATTATGATCATTAAATTCTTAGAATTCATTCATTGTGTCATATATAGATACGAGTACATACATATGGTATATAATATTAATGACTTCAGCGGATTGAACAAAAGTAAAAAAAACTGGTGAAATACTGTCGGAACTATTCGAATTATGTGTATATACATATATAGACTTTGTTTTCATCACTTGATATATCTACATACATATGTGTTTGTATTTGTTTAACTAACCAGAATGTAATTAGAGCTTAACGAAGCTTAATATCTTCAATGTTATATTTGAAGGTTATCATTTAATGTGAAGACGATTTGTGCAATTTTTAGATGAAATATTTTTTAATGACTCAGAAAGACTTCTAAATCTAATAGAAATAAAAACAAGAAAAACGATAACTTCGGTTGCACCGAAGCTATATTTCCGATTGTTCAGTTTGTATGGCAGCTATGTGCTATATTGGTCCGATATCGGCCGTTCCGACAAATGAGCAGCTTCTTGGTGAGAAAAGAACAGGTGCAAAATTCGAGATCGATAGCTTGAAAATTGAGGGAATAGTTTGTATGTATACAGACAGACGGAGATTGCTAAATCAACTTAGCTCGTCATGCTGATCATTCATGTATATAAAAGTATTTTATAGGAAACGTCAGAGTTCCTTCTGGGTGTTACAAACTTCGTGGCAAACTTAATATACCATATTCAGGGTATAATGATATAGAAGCATATT